CAACTATGGCTAACAGCCCCACCATTTGTTAAGAAGCTGTAGCTGGTGCATTAAAACTCCCTTCTAACTCAGGCCTCTGTATATTTCATTACTTGGATGACCTGTTAATATGACAAGCTAAAAGGCAAAATCAAAACCTATCCTCAGAGAATCTTAAACAACAAGCCATAAAAGCCCTAACAGAAAGAGGCTTTCTATTATTGAAAGTTAAGATTCAACTTGTTCTGGCTGGAGAGATGGCTCAGCAGTTCTGAGCACTGACTGCTCTTTCAGAGGTTCTGACTTCAATTCCCAGCAACCATATGGAGGCTAAAAACCCATACGTCATGAGATCCAAAACTCTATTCTGGTGTCTCTCAAGAGAGCTACAGTGTACTCATATACATAAAATAGAATAAACCTTTAAAAATGAAAGATTGAACTTATTTGACCCCTCACATTCCTAGAGAGAGAAATCAGCATACCCTCAGTCTGGCCAGCAACACCTCTGTGTGACTTCCCCAATGTATTAACCCTAAATACCCTTCAAAGCTTCCTAGGCAATATTAATTGGTTTAGGTCTTGGCTCACCATACCAACCAGGCAATCACAGCCTCTATTTGATTTACCTAAGGGTGACAAGGACCCCCTTCTCTCCTCTCTTTCTGACAGCAGCAGCCAGATGGACCCTTTGTTCTATTAAACCCTACGTTAGAAACACCTGGCATGTTATGATCCACAACACCCAATCCAGGTCTTTACATTCAGTTCTTCCCCCACAGTGGTTGGAGCCTTACATCAACCTCAGGGGATCCTAGAATGGCTCCATGCTCCAACAGGGGTAGTGCCTGCACTACTAACCGTGGTTGAAACTTTATCCACTATAAGGACAGGAAGGGAGCGTACCTTAAAAATTATAGGTAAAGAACCTGGTGTAGAAAGCCTGAGACTCGTGGAGCCGGGTATGCAGCAGGTTGCCGGAGTCGCGCCACCAGGTTTCAGCCCCCATGGGGGTGGCTTTGCTGGCAGAGGTGGCTTTGGTGACAGAGGAGGTAGAGGAGGAGGCTGAGGAGGCCGAGGAGGCTTTGGCGGTGGAGGTCGATGTCGAGGTGGAGGAGGTGGCGGCTTCAGGGGACGAGGAGGTGGAGGTGGACGAGGTGGACGAGGTGGAAGCTTCCAGTCTGGAGGAGGCCGTGGTCGAGGTGGTGGCCGGGGAGGCAAGAGAGGAAACCAGTCAGGGAAGAATGTGATGGTGGAGCCGCATCGACACGAAGGCGTCTTTATCTGTCGCGGAAAGTAGGATGCCCTTGTCACAAAGAACCTGGTCCCTGGAGAATCTGTGTACGGAGAAAAGAGAGTCTCTATTTCAGAAGGAGATGACAAAATTGAGTACTGAGCCTGGAACCCCTTCCGCTTCAAGCTGGCAGCAGCAATCCTGGGCAGTGTAGACCAGATCCACATCAAGCCGGGGGCCAAGGTGCTCTACCTTGGGGCATCCTCAGGCACCACCGTCTCCCATGTCTCTGATATTGTCGGCCCGGATGGTCTGGTCTACGCAGTTGAGTTCTCCCACCGCTCTGGACGTGACCTCATCAACTTAGCCAAGAAGAGGACCAACATCATCCCTGTGATTGAAGACGCTCGGCACCCACACAAATACCGCATGCTTATTGCAATGGTGGATGTCATCTTTGCCGATGTGGCCCAGCCAGACCAAACCCGGATTGTGGCCCTGAATGCCCACACCTTCCTGCGGAATGGAGGACACTTTGTGATTTCCATTAAGGCCAACTGCATTGACTCCACAGCCTCAGCAGAAGCTGTGTTTGCATCCGAAGTGAAGAAGATGCAGCACGAGAACATGAAGCCCCAGGAGCAGCTGACACTGGAGCCTTATGAGCGAGACCACGCTGTGGTCGTAGGTGTGTACAGGCCCCTCCCAAGGCGAAGAATTGAAACTCAGAGCGTGCTGGAGTGAAGAAATGTGTGTTGCTACCGTTGCACGTGTGGCTTTTGATTTTTTTTGAGGGGGGGGAGTTGTTTTGTTTTTCTATTAAAAGACTCATCTGTCAAAAAAAAAAAAAAAAAAAAAAAAAAGAACCTGGTGTAACTGTTTTCCCTTCCGCATCTCAGACATCCAATGGCTCCTAAGAAACCACACTTCTTTTGCTAATAGCCTCATTGGCTTCCCAGTACAGACAGACAACCATTACCCCAAAGATAAATTCCTGCAGCCCCACCAGTCTTTAGGTGGCTTCCTCCTCCACTGTTCTTTTGGTCTGCTATCCCAAGGCCCACAGCGTTTACAGATAGAGAGCCACAGGATGCTCTCTACACAGTGTGCCAAAGAGACACTGGCTCTGAGTCACATTTTTCCCCCTCACAGATAAGTCTCCCCGGTTTAAAGAACTGTATTCCATCTTCCTGGTTTTAACATATCTAAGAGAACCAGCTAGTCTACGTTCAGACAGCACTTATACGGTCAGCTTAAACCCGTGACTAGCCTGCTCTTATGTCAGACCTGGTGGTGACTCTTTTTCCCAACTATTAAGATTTCAAAAATATTTTAAACTAGAACATATCATATTTTTAGTCAGCCATGTGTAGTCACACTCATCCCTTCCAGATCCCTCTCTGATGGCAACACATCAGCCGGTAAGATTGTCACAACTGGGGCCTTTACTCTGTCACCCCTCACTGATAAGAATTCCCATCAACTAACCCATATTAACCTGAAAGGACTACATCTCAAATTCCCCAATGCCCCCATAAAATACCTCAAATACACCCTCAGAACTTGCTCCTCCCGTGCCTCCCTAATTCATACCCTTGCTATACTACAATTGGGCACCAACCCCAGAGCCCTAAGGCTAATAATGCCCTCTTACAAGAATGATGTCACCCACATCCCATCACTATACACAAAAATTTGTATTTGTTACTGTTGATACCCATTCCCATTTAAAAACCTAATTAATCACATGTTCTCCAATTTTGCTATTATGGGGGTCCCTCTTCATATCAAAGCTGATACTGGACCTGCATTCATTCAACAGCCATCAATTCTACAGTTTCTGCAAGTCTTGGAAAATTGTCCACCATACTGGTATCCCTCGCAACCCTCACAGCTAAGCTGTCATTGAAAGAACAAATCAAATACTTAAAAAAAATAACTAATTAAACACAAGGCTACCTACCACCAAATACTGAATTAAACCTGGCATTATTCACACTGAACGGGTTCAACATCTATGCCAAACAAGGCAAACCTCCCATTGTCTGTCACTGGAGTCAACCACCACCTTTACCACCCATGCCAGTCAGACAGAAGGACCCATTTGACAGGTGTTGGAGGAAGTCAGGTTAACTATCAACTACATGAAGGGGATTTGTTTGTATCTTTCCAGAGGATCAACCTCACCCTGTCTGGGGACCAGCCTGCAATGTCTGACGGGACCCCTCCAGTCAGAAAGAGGTCATGCCTGGGGATCACAGAGAAAACAAAGAGGAGACCATGCAGGCACCTGAGGGCACACAACCAGATCACCTGGAAGGACACTCATGTCCTCATTGACACAGCTCGATGCAGCTGCTTCCCACCCCCACCCCTCAAACCCACACAAGGCTCTGTCTCTGTCATTCTCATGGCTGCTTTTACCCTCATTAGCACCATGTTGTGTTACCCCCTCTCCTCCTAACACTATGCTTTCCTTGTTTTGTGTCATGGGAACAGATCATGGGAAGAACCAGATAATCAGGACTGGAGACTGCTCACTAGCAGGATGTCAGAACCCATTATGATTCCTATACACCAAATGCCACATCCAGTGCTGATTCCTTTTCTTGTTTTCCTTGACAGTCAGACCATCATGCCTTAAGCACGTTAACACCTGTGGAGGATTGACCTATTGGTCCTGTAAGTTAAAAATGGGGGTGCTCGGAACATCCCACACTACAGATAAACCACCCTACCATTCACAACGTTTAGATAAACATTGGAGAATATTGGAACAAAACATGGAGAATGGGGTGATTCATAAAATTTATGTTCCCTTTGATACCAACCCTCTTCCCAGTGGACAAGGGGGTCTAAGTGCAGAGAAAATGACCCAGGTCCACATGAACAATCTCAGGATTGAGAATGAAGTTTTGTTTTGTTTTGTTTTTAACGAGACAGGGTATCTCTGTGGAGCCCTGGCTGTCCTGGAACTCACTTTGTAGACCAGGCTGGCCTCGAACTCAGAAATCCGCCTGCCTCTGCCTCCCAAGTGCTGGGATTAAAGGTGTGCGCCACCACTGCACAGCGAGAATAAAGATCTTGTAAATAAAACTCATGCTTATCTGGGGCTACAGATGCTTCATCTGGGAAGAAACTTGAGGAGTCTGAGTCTCAGCACAGGGGTAATAAGGCAGATGCTGAGGGAAGAGGCAATGTCTCCTCTTTACAGTCAGGCTTGTCAGTGTGAGCCGCCCACTGCAGGTGAACACAGAGCCTGGTCTCTGTGGGGCCCGTGTGGGGCTTGAAGACAAGCGAGTCTCTGCTTTAAGGAGAAGCATCTCTCCACTGCAACCTCAACCATTTGTGTCGCTTTTGTATTCCTGGAAGTGGCTTTTCTTCTAGAAGATTCCAGGGTCTGACTTCTGAAGAGAAGAAGGAAGAGGAAGGGTGGAGGAGAGGACACAGAGAGTCTGACCTGCAGGTCTCTCCTGGTGTCCTGACAGCTCCTGGGTCAGAACTCGGAGACACCATGACAAACAGCGCTCTGTCCACAGCACAGGGTTCAGGCAAAGTCTTAGTCTCCAGGCGGTGAGGTCAGGGGTGGGGAAGCCCAGGGCTGGGGATTCCCCATCTCCCCAGTTTCACTTCTGCTCCTGTGTCAGGTCCTTCTGCCCGGACACTGATGACGCGCTGGCAGTTCTCACCCCCATTGGGTGACGCGATCCTGGGGAACCAATCAGTGTCGCCGCGGGCACTGGTTATAAAGTCCACGCAGCCCGAGGGACTCAGACTTCCCGGACCCGAGATGTGGGCGATGGCGCCGCGCACGCTGCTCCTGCTGCTGGCGGCCGCCCTGGCTTCGACCCAGACCCGCGCGGGTGAGTGCGGGGTCGGGAGGGAAACGGGCTCTGCGGGGAGGGGCGGGGGCGGCACCGAGGAAGCCGCGTCCCCGCGTCGGGGTCCCGGGAGGAGGTCGGGGTCTCAGCGCGCGCCGCCCCCAGGCTCACACTCGATGCGGTATTTCCACACCGCCGTGTCCCGGCCCGGCCTCGGGGAGCCCCGGTACATGGAAGTCGGCTACGTGGACGACACGCAGTTCGTGCGCTTCGACAGCAACGCGGAGAATCCGAGATACGAGCCGCGGGCGCTGTGGATGGAGCAGGAGGGGCCGGAGTATTGGGAGCGGAACACACAGAGAGCCAAGAGCAACGAGCAGACTTTCCGAGTGAGCCTGAGGACCCTGCTCGGCTACTACAACCAGAGCGAGGGCGGTGAGTGACCCCGGGTCGGAGGTCACGACCCCTCCACGTCCCGACACAGGGGCCGGAGACGTCCCGGGTCCCAAGTCCGAGGTTCGGGGGCAGAACCGACCCGGGACCGGTTTCCCTTTCAGTTTGGAGAAGTCCGCGGGTGGGCGGGGCCGGGGCGGGTGGGCGGGGCTGACCGCGGGGTCCCGCAGGCTCTCACACCATCCAGCGGATGTACGGCTGTGACGTGGGGTCGGACGGGAGCCTCCTCCGCGGGTACACACAGTTCGCCTACGACGGCCGCGATTACATCGCCCTGAACGAAGACCTGAAGACGTGGACGGCGGCGGACATGGCGGCGCAGATCACCCGACGCAAGTGGGAGCAGGATGGTGCTGCAGAGAGAGACAGGGCCTACCTGGAGGGCACGTGCGTGGAGTGGCTCCGCAGACACCTGGAGCTCGGGAAGGAGACGCTGCTGCGCTCAGGTGCAGGGGCCGCGGGCAGCTCCTCCCTCTGCCCTCGGGCTGGGGCTCAGTCCTGGGGAAGAAGAAACCCTCAGCTGGGGTGATGCCCCTGTCTCAGAGGGGAGAGAGTGTCCCTGGGTCTCCTGATCCTCATCACAGTGACTGCACTGACTCTCCCAGGGTCAGCCTTCTCCCTGGACAGTTCCCAGTCTGTCTCAGGAGGGAAGGAGAGAATTTCCTGACAGAACAGCAGGGGCTCCCTGCTGTCAGCCATGGCCTCTCCCAGGTTATCTGCCCTCACCCACTGTCTGTGAACACTGACACCTGTGTAGCTGAGTGTGTCAGCCCTTACACCTAAGAACTGGAAATCTCCTTTACCTAATGGGAAACATGGAGTCCCTACACTGTGCTGGTTCTCCCAGTTTCTAGAACTTTCCAAAGAATACATTCTCAAAGATCCCTCTCTGTCTCTGGGGTTTGCATCTCTTCGACTTTCCAATTCTATCTATTCCTACAGTGATGAATGGTCACATGAGCCCTTATGGGATACCCTAATGGAATACTAAGTTGTGGGATTTCTTTTTCTTTTTCTCTTTTGTTTTTCCTTTTCTTTCTTTCTTACTTTCTTTTTTCTTTATTTTTTTTTTTGAAGGCATTATTTTGCTTCTAGTCAGTTTTTGTCTGCACTGGAGTGATCCTGTTTCTCCATGCCCTTGTATTATCATTTCTATCAGTCTCCACAGGTGCCAGGGGAGACTGCTAACCTGGATAATTAGACAAGTTAAATCAGGGTTCTCATTAAAGGAGAGATTCATGTGAACTTAGACCGCTTCCTGTCAGAACTGAACATTCAGAAGCCTCCTGCTCTTCCTCTGCACCCACAAGTTACAGTGCTCCCCCTAGTGAAAAGAAATGGGACTTTCTGAGAGACAGGGTCTTCTGCAATCCAGGGCTGGAGGAGAGGGAAGATCCACACACCCTGTGTTCCAGTGAGTGCTGCACTGGGGTCAACAGTACACTCCAGGAATCCTGTGTAACATACCAGTATGTTGTCATCCCAGAGGCAGGGTCTGGGAGTCATTTTTTCTGGCTGAGTGTCAGAGGATCACCATATTTCTGCTACACACTTTGTGATGGCTGCTCACTTGAACTGACAGTTATACTGGTAAGCCAAACGACAACAGTGGTTGACTCTCAGTGGTGGCACCCTTCCAGTAGCATATGGCCCTAATTTCTAATATAGATATGAACTCAAACACATGTTAAATTACTTATTTTCCATTCCATCTGCCATTCTTTGACCGCGTGTCTCATGCTATAGAATATCACATAAGGAAGGCCATGTTGACCCATTGGCTCATGTGGATTCCCTCTTAGCTTCTGAGTCCCCAGGGGATATGTGCAGTTCTATCCTGAGGGGACTAGCTCTACATGCAGGTCACTAGTGCGATGACAGTTGAAGTCTTCAAACAGACACATAATTCAGTGTCATCACTGATTTCAGTTTGTCTTGTTAATTGTGGGATTTCTTAAATCTTCCACACAGATCCCCCAAAGGCACATGTGACCCATCACCCCAGACAAGAAGGTGATGTCACCCTGAGGTGCTGGGCCCTGGGCTTCTACCCTGCTGACATCACCCTGACCTGGCAGTTGAACGGGGAGGAACTGACCCAGGACATGGAGCTTGTGCAGACCAGGCCTTCAGGGGATGGAACCTTCCAGAAGTGGGCATCTGTGGTGGTGCCTCTTGGGAAGGAGCAGGATTACACTTGCCATGTGCAACATGAGGGGCTGTCTCAGCCACTCACCCTGAGATGGGGTAAGGAGGGTGTGGGTACAGGGATGGAGTCAGGGAAAGTTGGAGCCTTCTGTAGACCCTGAGCTGGTCAGGGCTGAGAGCTGGGGTCATGACCCTCACCTGTACCTGACCTTCCCAGAGCCTCCTCCATCCACTGACTCTAACATGGTGATCATTGCTGTTTTGGCTGTCCTTGGAGCTGTGGCCATCATTGGAGCTGTGTTGGCTTTTGTAATGATAAGAAGGAGAAACACAGGTAGGAAAGGGCAGGGTCTGAGTTTTCTCTCAGCCTCCTTTAGAAATGTGCTCTGCTCATCAATGGGAAACACATCCACACCCTGCTTTGCTACTGTCTCCAACTGGGTCTGCTGTCAGTTCTGGAAACTTCTAGTGTCAAGATCTTCCTTGAACTCTCACAGCTTTTCTTCTCACAGATGGACGAGGAGGAGACTATGCTCCAGCTCCAGGTTAGTGTGGGGGTCGGGATTGTCCTGCGGCCATTGGAGTGAAACTGAAGATGATGGGAGCTCTGGGAATCCATAATAGCTCCTCCACAGAAATCTTTTGGAGGTCTCATTTTTACCTTGATATGAATACATACACATACATATACATATACATTTGTTTTGTTTGACCGTAGGCAGGGACAGCTCCCAGAGCTCCGATATGTCTCTCCCAGATTGTAAAGGTGACACTCTGGGGCTTGGTTGGAGAGAGGTTATGTAGACATGATTGAGTTTCAGGGACTCCCAGAATCCCCAGTGAGCTTTTGGGTTGTTGGAATGTTTTATTCACAGTGATTGTTCATGACTCTCATTCTCTAACATGAAGACAGCAGCCCGGAGTGGACTGAGTGACAGACAGTGTGTTCAGATCCCTCCTGTGATGTCCAGAGCCCTGAGTTCTCTTTAGACAACAGTGTCTGCTGTTCCCTGTGATCCTATGGACTCAATGTGAAGAACTGTGGAGCTCAGCCTGCCCTGCACACCAGGACCCTGTCCCTGCACTGCCTGTGCTCCCTTCCACAGCCAACCTTCCTGGTCCAGCCAAACACTGGGGGACATCTGCATCCTGTCAGCTCCATGCTGCCCTGAGCTGCAGCTCCTCACTTCCACACTGAGAATAAGAATCTGAATGTGAACTTGATTGTTAACATCTTGACCTGAGGGTTGATTGCTTGTTAATTTCATGGACTGAGAATACTTAGAGTATTTTCGAAGAAATTAATGGCAGATGGAGAACCTTCTAGAATCTGTGTCACTAAGTTGTGTGTATCTGTTGTGACAGGATGAGGCTGTGGCAGCTGAATGTGAACAGGGCTGTGGTCAGGTGGACTCAGTTATTTTTGATGGGTCACTCCTGGGCTGTGTCACCTCAGGGCTCTGCTCTCTCCATCACTATGAAGCACATGCTGAGAGTCTGTGATCACAAGGACACAGGGATGAGAGATGAACACACAGATCACATCCTATACCTCAGACCCTGAGCCTGGTTCTGTTCCCAGGATTCTGTGTCTCCAGGGATAAAGATCAGACACCACAGTGGGGATCCTTCGATGTGCCAGGTGCACAAGATAAGTCACACTACATTTCCTCCTACCTATTTGTTTTAGCTACCTACTAATGATGCAGTCTTGAAGCTGCCCTGGGCACTCCCTGTAGCCATGCTACTGTTGTGGTTTCTTCTTTTTCTTTCCAGCGCCTTTTCCAGGGTTCTCAGGTGTCTGGTGTGATCTGTCTGTTCATCTCTCAGGAGCACATCTACAGCTGAGATTATTGGTTTAGATTTTTCAAAACCTATTTTTAATAAAAATTCTTCAATGCTCTATCTCCCTTCTAGCCTAGCGCCCACCAGAAGTAGTGGAACAGAAATGTTTTTAGGATAGGAGGAAAGCAGAGCTGTTTAGAAATGGGTCTTTTGGACTGGGGAGATGGCTCAGTGGTTAAGAGCACTGACTGCTCTGCCAGAGATCCTGAGTTCAATTCCCAGCAACCACATGGTGGCTCATAACCATCTGTAATGTGATTCGACATCATATTCTGGTATGTGTCTGAAGACAGCTGCAGTGTACTCATATAAATAAAAAAATAAATCTTTAGAAATGAGTCTTTGGAGCAAATCCAGAGTGTGTTGTCAGGATATCAGCAGTTCAGTTCACAAGAATCAGCAACAGCAGGTCAAACCTGAGGAAGCCGGGAGGCTCATCTGTTTGCTGTTTAGAAGTAGTTCTTTGGGGAAATTTCAATCTCCAATTGACAGGATACCAGCAGTCCAGGTCAGTAGTGTCAGGATAGCAGACACAAATCATCAGCTGTGGCACAACCCAGGAGAAACAGCCAGGCCTCCACTGAATCAGCTCAAGTATGCAGGAGATACCAGGACTACCAAGGATTCCAGAAGGTGTTCTCTCCCATGACTCTCTCAAGGAAGTGAAGATCAGGGCAGATGAAGATTTGAGACCAATAAAGCATTTCAAAGTCAGCTGTGCAAGCCAGCCATCACTGTCTGTTGTGTCTTATTTATACTCCCTCAAACATCATGTGTCCACACAGGACTCTTGCTTTACATGAGTCTTGCCTCAGGAAAACACCATGTGAGTCTGTCTTAGCAAAATTCCACTTGCGTCTGTATCAGCAGACATATCCAGAAACTTCCACTTCACTCTGCCAATCAGTCCAAGTCTGCTGAAGCAGCAAGAAGCTGCCAGAACATCACCAGAAGGATTTTGGTGCATTTCTCTCTATGGAGTCACGAGAAATGATGACCAATAAACAATGGTAAAGTTTACCAATACCATGCAGCCTCGGCTACTGTCTGCTGGGTTTTATTCATATTCCTTCTAAACATCCAGTGTCCTTTCACGTGTGTCTACTTCAGAAAACATCAGTTTGACATAACTGACTTTCTGAAGAAACCAGAAGTTTCCATTTCAAGAGCAGTAATGTTTCTTTCTCCTGTAACTTGGGTACTGCCCACTGGGCCCTTTATACTCCTGGACTATCTTATCTTTTAGCGACTTCTGTTCTGGTGTTAACTCTCTGAAGTCTCTTAATCTCCCTTCCCAGCTCAGTGAACCTGTGGCTTGCAGCCCTGACTTGGGCATGCAGGATGTGGTATTCAGCACGGTCTGTCTTAAAGTCCTGTTTATAAGCCTCTTGTTGCTCTGCATTGTGGATGACTCTGTATTGCAGGACTCCAAAGTCCTGCTCATAGGCCTGTAACCACTTAAATTAACTAATATTATAACTTTTTTCACCCCCTTTCCTCCCAGCATTGGGGCAATGGGTTAGCCAGATGAAGCTGGGATTTGCTGAGGTGTCATTTCTGTGGGGCTGCTGGGGACTGGAGGGGACTGGAGAGGTGTTGTCACTGTGGACAGCTCCTGTGATGTTTCACCAAGACTGCAGGCTGAAGCAGGACAAATTTAATTTCTGCTTCCCTCTGCATTGGTGATTGTTAAACTTGGGATGGGCTTGAAACCTGGGGGTGCAGGTTTGTTGGGGGTTAGCCTAGAGACTGGAGCTAGGCTCAGGTTTTGTCTTGAGGTAACTTGGAACTAATGCCAGCTGCTAGCATGTTAGTTTGCCTGAGTTCAAGTTCTCTAAAATAGAGTCTGAATTTAAAAGATTTGGCCTCTCACAGTTGATTGAGACTGTAACAAGTGGGATGTGGGCAAGAAGGTTCTCCAGAGTCAAAAGGCAATGCTGGTACCTATCTGTCCAGGAACCGCCTTTTCTAATGTGATGGTGGGCACCTCTTGTATGTGCCAAGTCCAGGGAAGAAGGAACTTTACAAAGGATATGTTCAAACCCAATGGTCTCCAAGGGGACTGTCAAGATGGCACAGACTGAAAAGGTTCTTGCCACCAAGCTTGGCTCCCGAGTTTGTTCTTTGGAAGCTATATGGTGAATGGAGAGACCTGACTCCTGTAAGTTATCCTCTGAGCTTCATACTCACATCATGACATGGACATCGCTACACATAATTATTAAATAGGTGCAATAAAAATAAAAATGGAACCATGATGGTTTCATGTTGAAGGACATGGAAGTACATATGTATAAAGACATGTAAGTATGTATAAGGACAAGTATATATTTATTGTGTCTAGTTTGCCTCCACACTTTCCAGTGGGTGAATTTTTCTGTGTCCAATACCCATATTATTATAAGAATCAGCCAGGAGGATTGAAGGACAACCCATGCAAAGACAATCAACAAAGATTTTAAACCATTTTCTATGTTATGTTTTTAGACTTTTGCTTTATGTGTATGGTGTACAAATGAAGGCACTCCCCAGCTGTGGTATGTGTGTTGGGAGAGGGCAAGTCAGAAGACAACCTTGGGGATCCAGTTCTCTCTTTCCATGTGGGTTCTGGGGGACTGAATTCAGGTGGTCAGACTTGCTGGCAAGTACCTCTACCTGAGTCACCTCACCATCCCGGCATGGGTGCCACCACTCTCTTTTTGAAATATTGAGAAATCAGACCCAGGGCCTGTGATGTACAAGATGGGCACTCTAGTCACTGTACCATGTTCCCAATGTTTGAAAACCAGCTAGCCAACAAGGGCTTCCTGATATTTCAAAGGACCATACTAAAGCTTCGGAATAAAGATGGAATTAGAGACTATCTGGTAAAAACAGACAAAGTTGGCATACAAGAAGCACTTTGGTGGTGCAGCCAGCTGATCCAAGGACCTAATCTAAAAGAACCAGGCCTGAAGTAGAAATTTATTGTTTCTTTGGACACTCAGTTGAGTCATGTGATGTTTTTCTGGAAACTGTCTTATGAGAGGATGTTTTGCTGAAGCAGACACGTGATGTTTTTCTGGAAGCTGCCTGCAAAACGGGCATGTGATGTTTTGCTAGAGTTTGAGAGAACACGTGATGTTTGGAAAGGGTATAAATTTAACCCAACAGACTATGGATACTGCTGTGCGGCATTGATTCACCTTGCTGCTCTTTGCTGGTCTTCATTGGGCTTCGCTGGTCTTCACTGACGATGCTCTGACATTGGTTAGCTTTGCTTTCTTGGCTTCTTTGTCATGATTTTGTAGAGAAACGAGCCAAAGAACTTCTGTTGGTGTTCCTGCAGCTTCTTCCTGCTTCTGCAGACTCAGGCTGATTGGTAGAGCCTCAGAGTTTCTTCTGGATTGAACTGCCATTGCTGATTTTTGTGAACTCAACTATAGATATCCTGAAAACACAGATTGAACTGACCACAAAGAACCATCTCAAAACTGGTCCACATCTTCCTTTGCCCTATTAACCTTTCCTTTCTACTGTCTCTGGTGGGTAGTGAGCTAGAAGAGAGGTTAAAATATTTAAGTAATCTAATTAAAGTAGGTTTTGGAAAATATAAGCCTACACAGGGCATCTGGAATATTCCATGTGTGGGTTATGTTACCAATGCTGCATTGGTGCTGGAAGACAGCAGAAGTTTGGGTAGACTGAGCTATGTGGGGACAGATTAGGAAGCTCTTTCTCTTGGACTCTGTGACCCTGAGGAACCCAGGGTTTCTCCTATTAAAACCTTCTCTGCAGGGTAGTTAGGTGACTCAAGCCTGAGTGAGGCCCTGTGGCTGCAGAGAAAAGAATCACAGACAGCCAAGCATAAAAATAAAGATGGTGTCACTTCTGAGTAAAATTATGGGGCTACAGAGATTGTTCAGAGGTGAAGAATAATTACTGTTGTTCTAGAGGATGTGGGTTGAGTTTTCAGCTCTCACCCACTTGTAACTCCAGTCTCAGAGGGGATAGGACACTGTCGTCTGGCTGAGTGGGGTACTCCATGTATGTGGTGCACAGACATATGTGGAGGTAAATCACTCACATATATAAAACATTTTTAAAAGATCAAAAAGAAATGGAGATAAATAAGATTTATGTAAAGAAAAAGATCCCTGACCAGTATTGGAGGTCATAACATTACATTATTAGGTAATGTTCTGCCTGCATGTATGCCTGCCCACCAGTGGAGGGCGCCAGAGTCTCATCATAGAAGGCTGTGAGCCACTGCATGATTTCTGAGAATTCAGCTCAGGACCTATGGAAGAGCAGGTAATGCTCTCAACTCTGAGTCATCCCTCCAGTCCCAACCTTGAATTCTTGATCCTCCTGCCTCACCTCAGCATACCAAGTGCCAGGATCATACGTGGGGTGTGTGTGTGTGTGTGTCTATGTGTGTGTCTGTGTGTGTGTGTCTGTGTGTGTCTGTGTCTGTGTCTGTGTGTGTGTCTGTATATGTGTGTGTGTCTATGTCACCATGACTGGAGAGAATGCTGTTGAGTAACAATGATGGGAGGAGCCTGAGGTGTAATCTCACTCAGAAGTTTTATTTCAGCTGGAAGATCATAAGTACACGTGAAAACTGAAAAACAGATGATTTGGAGTTGAAGGGAAAATCCCTGGCTGCTTTAAAGCTCATTGAATAATCCATAGTCTCTCTGTGTCAATTATTTGGGAGCAAGCTGGGTTAAAGAAAAAACATCATTTATTAATTTCATGATATACAACTTGGCACACAATCATGTCTCCTTGTGTCATGATTAACTTCCAAATGAAATCAATAACCAGGTCATAATAGTATTGAAACCTGAGATAATTATCACTTTTACAATCACAAATGCATTATAAATTTAGAAAAAGTGGCAATGTCCTTTGAGGGAGATTCTTTTAGCATCTCAAATTTAAATATGAAAACCATTGATAACTCTCTTAATAGATGCTACATTGTATGATAAAGAAATAGAGAAGATAATGCAATATCTCTACAAATACACTCTTAACCAAATATAACAGAAATGCTTGTGTCACTTATAATCCTC